CACAAAGCTGACACCACAAAGGCTGACATATACCACAAAGGTTGATATACCACATAAAGGCTATATACCACAAAGCTGACACACCACAAAGGCTGATATATACCACAAAGCTGACATAGCTATATACCAAGGCTGAATATAAAGGTGAATACACATTACAAAGGCTGACATATACCACAAAGGCTGACATATACCACAAAGGCTGACATATACCACAAAGGCTGACACACCACAAAGGCTGACATATACCAGTACATATACCACAAAGGCTGACATATACACAAAGGCTGACATACACACAAAGGCTGACATATACCACAAAGGCTGACATATACCACAAAGGCTGACATATACCACAAAGGCTGATTACACACAAAGGCTGACATATACCACAAAGAGGACAGACCACAAAGGCTGACATATACCACAAAGGGCTGACATAATCAAAGCTGAATATACCAAAGGCTAACAAGCTGAAATACAAAGTGACATATACCATAAAGGCTGACATATACCACAAAGGCTGATATACCACAAAGGCTGACACACCAAAGGCTGACATATACCACAAAGGTCAGACATATACCACAAAGGCTGACATATACCACAAAGGCTGACTATACCACAAAGGCTGACATATACCACAAAGGCTGACATATACCACAAAGGCTGACATATACCACAAAGGCTGACATATACCACAAAGGCTGACTACACCACAAAGGCTGACATATACAGACCAAAGTGATATACCACAAAGGCTGACATATAACCAAGAACGTGACATATACAAAAGCTGAAAACCAAGCCCATACCACAAAGGATACACACAAAGGCTGACATATACCACAAAGCTGACATACACAAAGGCTGACATATACCAAAGGGCTGACACACCACAAAAGGCTGACACACCACAAAGGCTGACATACCACAAAGGCTGACATTACCACAAAGGCTGATATACCACAAAGGCTGATTACACCACAAAGGCTGACACACTACAAAGGCTGACATATACCACAAAGCTGATATACCACAAAAGCTGACACACCACAAAGGCTGACATATACCACAAAGGCTGATTATATACCACAAAGGCTGACATATACCACAAAGGCTGACACACCACAAAGGCTGACATATACCACAAAGGCTGACATATACCACAAAGGCTACACAACAAAGGCTGACATATACCACAAAGGCTGACACACACCACAAAGGCTGATACATACACAGCTGACATATAGTGACATATACCACAAAGGCTGACATACCACAAAGGCATATACACACAGTATACCACAAAGGCTACAATACCACAAAGGATTATATACCACAAAGGCTGACATATACCACAAAGGCTGACACACCACAAAGGCTGACATATACCACAAAGGCTACAATGTAAAGGTGACATACCACAAAAGCTGACATATACCACAAAGGCTGACATATACCACAAAGGCTGACATATACCACAAAGGCTGACATATACCACAAAGGCTGACATACCACAAAGGCTGACAAAACAAAGGCTGATACACACAAGGCTGATATACCACAGGTGACACACATAAGGCTGACATATACCACAAAGGCTGATATACTAAAGGCTGACAATGGGTTTGGCACAAAGGCTGACATATACCACAAAGGCTGACATATACCACATGACATATACACAAAGGCTGACACATACCACAAAGGTGATACAAAAGGCTGAATAGCCACAATGACATAAAAAGGCTGACATATACCACAAAGGCTGACAGGAAGTTACAGTGACATATCCAAGGCCATAATAAAGGCTGACATATACCACAAATATATATACAAGTTGTGGGGTGCAAAGGCTGAATATACCACAAAGGCTGATATAGGTGTGTTAGGAATACCACAAAGGTGACACTAAAAGGATACAACAAAGGCTGATATATACAAAGGCTGATATACCACAAAGGCTGACATACCCAAAGGCTGACATATACGGTGGTGGGTGGACATCCAAAAGGCTGACATATACAAAGGCTGACACACCACAAAGGCTATAACAAAGGCTGACATATACCAAGGTGGTGATATATAAAAGGCTGACATATACCAAAAGGCTGACATACTACCACAAAGGCTGATAATACCACAAAGGCTGACATACCACAAAGGCTGACATATACCACAGGTGACCACAAAGGCTGACATATACCACAAAGGCGACATATACCACAAGGCTGACATATACCACAAAGGCTGACACACCACAAAGGCTGACACACCACAAAGGCTGACATATACCCAGGCTGACACACCACAAGGCTGACATATACCACAAAGGCTGACATATACCACAAAGGCTGACATATACCACAGGCTGACATATACACAAAGGCTGACATATACCACAAAGGCTGACATACCACAAAGGCTGACACATCCACAAAGGCTGACACACCACAAGGCTGACATACCACAAAGGCTGAATATACCAAAAGGCTGACATATACCACAAAGGCTGACATATACCACAAAGCTGACATATACAAAGGCTGACATATACCACAAAGCTGACATAACACAAAGGCTGACATATACCACAAAGGCTGACACACCACAAAAGGCTGACACACCACAAAGGCTGACATACCACAAAGGCTGACATATACCACAAAGGCTGACATATACAAAGTGACAACCACAATGTCACAAAGGCTGACATATACCACAAAGGCTGACATATACCCACAAAGGCTGACATAACCACAAAGGCTGACATACCACAAAGGCTGACATATACCACAAAGGCTGACATATACCACAAAGGCTGACATATACCACAAAGGCTGACATATACCACAAAGGCTGACACATACCACAAAGGCTGACACACCAAAGGCTGACACACCAAGGTGTATACCACAAAGGCTGACACATACAAAGGCTGACATATACCAAGACCACAAAGTGACACACCACAAAGGCTGACACACCACAAAGGCTGACATATACCACAAAGGCTGACATATACAAAGGCTGACATATACCACAAAGTACAAAGGCTGACATATACCAAAGGCTGACATATACAAGGCTGACATATACCACAAAGGCTGACACACCACAAAGGCTGACACACCACAAAGGCTGACACACCACAAAGGCTGACATATACCACAAGGCTGACACACAGGTGACATATCCACAAAGCTGACACACCACAAAGGCTGACACACACCACAAAGGCTGACACACCACAAGGCTGACATATACAAAGGCTGACATATACCACAAAGGCTGACATATACCACAAAGGCTGACACACCACAAAGGCTGACATATACCACAAAGGCTGACATATACCACAAAGGCTGACAACGGCTGACACAAAAACAAGCTAAACGCAATTTCCTCTCAAGGATATTGTCAGGAAACAGGTTAAGGAATTCACCGCCGTCAGCAGGAGTGTCAGCCCCGTCGAATAATATACCGTAATAAAGCGAACTGGCAACCCCTTAAGTGAAAATAATTAGTTATGAAATAAATTATTGCTTTTTATCATTAATTCTATAATTCCTTAATAAAATCTAACGTTAATATAATAATAAATTAAAAATATAACTATAATTATTATTTTCATGTTTAAAAATAGATAATTTAGTGGATAAAGTAGTTATATATTAATTAATAACTATCATACATCTGGTATATCATTTATTGGGATTTAATAACCAATCAAATCATTCCTTCACCATGACGTCATCAATATGGTCGCCCTATACCGAGCATAAGAAAAAAATCGACTACTTTATACTTAAATTATTTTACGCGAACCCAGTTATATGACACTTTGATTGTAGGTGATAAATAATAATAATAATAATAATAATAAATAATAATAATAATAATAAATAATAATAATAATAAAATAAATAAAAATCCCCTCTTAAGAATACCACACATCATACACCAGGCAACACAGGAAGACAACCAATCACAGACCTATAAAATAACAACATGTGACGTCATATACCCCACCGGCAGAAATAGCACCATTGTCAAACTAACTATCGTTAAGACCTGGAACAAGGGAGGAATAACAGGTCAAATAAACAAAGGAGGGAGGGAGGAGAATGTCTACCTAGGAGGAGGAATCTATATTGAAATGAGTGAGATAATTTGTGTGTTGGGTGGGAGGAGTTTGTTGGCGTGCCGTAGTGATCATGTGAAGATTAAACCCCCCTGTTTATTTTAGTTGGTTAAATATTCTTAACTTAATCCAGCTTAATTTTAACCTAACCTAATCAAATCCAGCTTAACCTAACGTACACATAACTTAATCTAACCAAATAATATATCTGTTTAAAAAAAAGAGATAAATTTAACTCTTGTTTTTGTCATTTCAGAAGAGTGATGGGATACAGCATTGAATTAAAGACAGTTGATAATGTTCCAATACTTTACACCACGAGATGCAAATGGCGGCTATGAACGGATGTCAACAAAGTGAAAAATATTTACAAAATGAAAAATAAAACATATATATTTACACTAAGATAAATATGATATAAAAATACATATAATAAACTAGAAAATATAAATAACTGAATATATAACAAAATTAACGAGTAAGGGATAAATTCGTATGATGAAACATTATTGGAACCAGCGTCAGAATATTTACAAGCTGAATTAAAAAAAACTACAGTATAGTGTTTTAAAAATCACAAAATAAACTTTAAAAACAATGGTGAGGAAGAAATATTATTGGAACCGTCAGAATATTTACAAACTGAAAATAAAAACAACTTCAATTCAAACTAAAACAATTGCAGTGTTTTAAAAATCACAAAATAAACTTTAAAAACACTGACGAGGAAAACACATTATTGGAACGTGTTTTTATTAGTGTTTTTATTAGTGTTTTAGTTTAAAGTGACTTAATGAATCATGAAAATAAATGAGAATAAAGTTTTTAGAAAATAAGTAAATAATTTGTTTTTTTTGGTGTTTGTTATTAAAGAGATGTTAAGAGTGTTTTAACTTAGTGTTTTAAATGTGAAATAAATAAAAAAAATAATTAAACAACTCTTAAAACAGACGAGAGTTCTTGATGTTATTGAGAGAGAAAGAACAGTGGATATTGCTTGGTTTAAAGAGATTTTATTTTAGTGGTTTAAGAGTGTTTTAAGAGTGGTTTAAGAGTGTTTTAGTAAGAATAAAGACCCAATAACGTGAAAAAACTCTTAAAACACATAGAAACTCTTGAAAATTAATTATAAAGAACAGTGGATATTGCTTGGTTTAAAGAGCTGTTATTTTAGTGGTTAAAGAGTGGTTTAAGAGTGGTTTAAGAGTGTTTTAGTAAGAATAAAGTTCCAATAACGTGAAAAAACTCTTAAAACACATAGAAACTCTTGAAAAAATCCCCCCCAAAAATCATAAAAATTACGAAAAACTGAAAAAAAAAATTATCCCAAGAAATTTTCCAATATTTTTTTTTTTTGAAGGAAGAAAATTTTCAACCATGACACAAGGAATCAAACACCTCCTCTTCCTCCTAATCTTCCTCCTGGATTATAAGGGACTACAAACAATTGCTAATCCAGGTTTGTTTGTGATTACCTGTTAGTGGTTTGTTCTTTGTATGTCTGTCTGTCTGTCTGTCTGTCTGTCTTCTCTAATCAATAATAATAATAATAAGAAGAATTATAACCAGGTGCCTCCATCATCACCACCTCGAGTAGAAACCTTTTAACAGCTCATGTATGCAAATGAGATACAGAGTGTGTCAAAAAAGTGTTGCCTGGGCCTTCTTATGCCTACAGGGTGTGTTAAAAAATTGGGTGTCTCATATGTCTACAGGGTGTGTCCAAAAAATTACCACCCCATTTTCTACTGTATACCTTGACACACACTTGTAGGCAAAGAGAATGGCGTAAGAGAGCCCAATTGTTTTTCCTTCTTCCTTCTGACACACCCTGTAGGTATTGTATACGCCCCGCCTCCAACTCAAGTCCGGAGAAGAAAAGTTTTGGTGAGAAATTTTATCTCAAAACTGTGACCAAGAGAGGGGGTTAGGTTAGGTTAGGTGGGGTGGGGTAGGGGTGGGGTGGGTGGGGGTGGGGTGAGGTTAGGTTACTTTAAGGACCTTCGATATACTGAACTATCATAACTAAATAGCTCTCTCCGTAATTGATATACACAGTTCTTATACCTGGAAGCCAAGGTGTGTTATGTTGATGTTACTTGGGGGGACTAATGGGGCTGGTAGACTAATGGGCTGGTAGGGACTAGTGGGGGCTGGTAGGACTAGTGGGGCTGGTAGGACTAGTGGGGGCTGGTAGACCAATGGGGCTGGTAGGGACTAATGGGGGCTGGTAGGGACTAATGGGGCTGGTGGTAGGGACCAATGGGGGCTGGTAGGGACTAGTGGGGGCTGGTAGGACTAGGGGGGCTGGTAGGGACTAGTGGGGGCTGGTAGGGACTAGTGGGGGCTGGTAGGGACTAGTGAGGGCTGAAGCACATAACCCTTTGATCACCTGAAGATTAAGCACCCCAATGATATGTACGTAACAAGATGAACGTTTCTTATCCGTGTACGTCATAAATAAACGTACATGTATGTTTATGTACGTAATAATATGAACGTTTCTGGTCCATGTACGTCAAAAATATACACATGTCTGACTATGTACGTAACAATATGAACGTTAATAATCCATGCACATAAAAAAATAAACGTACATGTGTGTGTGTGTGTGTGTAGGAATGCCATCCTATAAGACAGACACGTTTGCAATAGACTTAGGAATCCTTGTGATGGTATTATTCAAGCAGATAGTGGGATTTGAACCCAGGACACCGTATCCGAACCCCGGGACCCGAATCCGAACCCCGGGAACCGAATCCGAACCCCGGGAACCGAATCCGAACCCCCGGGAATCGAATCCGAACCCCGGGACTGAATCCGAACCCCCGGGAATCGAATCCGAACCCCATGAACCAAACCCAGGTTATATCAGGTCAACTAAGGTAAGATATGGTGAGGTCATGTCAGGTCATATCAGTATTCAGGTCAGATCAGGTCAGTATTCATGTCAGGTCAGATAGTGTCAGGTTAGGTGATGTCAGGTCAGGTCAGGTCAACTCTGGAACTATTTGGCAATTACCTCAAGGTGCTGTTGTTAAGGCCAATGGCTCATAGTGCCTTCTTGCCCGGAGTCTTTTGTTGTTGTGTGATTGTTGTTGTTGTTGTTTATTATTAAAGTGACTATTATATTTTGTTATCAAGAGAGAGAGAGAGAGAGAGAAAGAGCATCAATATAAACTCTCACACTGGAAACAGTTGCTGGCCTCTCTCTTCTCTTCTCTCACTCTCTCTCCTCTCCCCTCTCTCTCTCTCACTCTCCCACCCCCTTCTAGGTTGGAAAGAACAAACTAACTGGGGTAATAATGAGAGACAAGGCCCACCCAGAAAAGGCCCTCACCTCCTACCAGGCC